GAATTACTCCGCAAAAAACATATAAAGACACCCCACAAAAAAAACATATAAAGACAGCAGATCTTTATCACTTACTTGCCAACGTCCTAGCTTGGGTTTTGGTGAGCATTGCCGCAAACCCAGAGAATCCGTGTTTGTAACTGTAAACTATCGACTTCAAGGATTCATCTTTGCTGTTGCAGACAAGACATAATGTTAGCAACAGTACTAATATATAGTAACATGGATTACTAGCTAGCCAGTACCTCCCAAGCACGGAGGTTAGTATGTCATGGTGTGACGCGGTGACAGCAGATGGATCATCATGTTTCTTCTCCCCCATGTACACTATGTAGAGCTGAAATGAACATGCGAAGAGAGGTCAGAATTTTTTTTAGAACAAGCCAAAGTTAAAGTCTTGCGAACAAGAAGGAATTATAACTTACTTTGCTCGACGCATTTGCCGAAAGAGGCAACAGTGTGACCAGTAGCAGAGCGCAGCAAGAGAAAGCTATCCTCGAATCCATGTCCGATCTCGAGAAGAGTGTTATGTTCTTCTCTCCTCTCGCGTGTATGTATATATAGCATAGGAGCCAGGTGCTATCCATGAGGTGAAGGAAGAAAGAACAGTTCAAAAGAACATTACGTGTTTCAAAAGAACACGTGATCGAGGAAAACGATAGGACTAGACGACCATGTCGTATCTACCACCATTAAACAACTTGAAGCAGACTTAATGACATGAGGTCGACCTCAAAACAACAAGCTTCGTTTAATCAGTGGGCATAAAATTATAAAAACAACCATGGGGGCTGCAAGAACCGTTCAAACAAGGATATGTTTGCATTGTCAGCGTTAGGTGGTACACGTACCTGAGAAAGAAGCGCAGACCATGGTCCTTATAGGAAGCACCGTGCTCATCGGGCATCCAGGCCGTGTCCATGTCATGACATCAGCGCTTTGCTGGGTCTTTCAAAAAAAAACTTTAGTAAAGTTGATAAAGGTGACGGCAATTTATAGAAACAAAAATTTGACCCATTGAAGCATTCCACGCGTAAAGATTGGTTTGGCCGGTTCGTTTCTCTAATAGCTAAATTCATTTTTTTTTCGAAGAACCTCTTGGAGAGAGAAGGGGTTCCTGCAATTTCTATAAAAATGATAGAAATGGTCCAGTTTGCAAGTAAAACCAGGCCCAAAAACCTACACAGATGATGCAATTTATAAGAAAAAACTAACCCAAAAACCTACCGGAGCTCGAGGATTATATAAAAACGTCTCAAATGCCTGGACCGGCCGCCAGTTAGTGATGGGTCAAAAAAAAACTCGACCCAACTGGACCTCTCAAACCGCGGACAACGCCCGGGCTGACCGGCACCCCTCATATCCCGCCCAAATATAGGACGGATATGGGGCGGCCCGAGCACGCCCTGGCCCGTCCGCCTGACAGGCCCGACCCACCGCCGACCCCACAAAAAACCCCAATCCGGGCGGCGAGCTCAAACCCTAGCTCACTCTGTCCCTCTCTCTCTCTCTCTCTTGCTCCGTCCACTCCTCTCCCTCTCTCTTGCTCCGTCCACTCCTCTCCCTCTCCCTTTCCGATCCCATCCACCAGGATGAGCAGCTCCGATAGCAACTCCGGCTCGAAGCTCGACTACAAGGAGGAGTTGGCCCTCCGCATTGATCTGGAGCGGTCCAAGGTGAAGACCGGCGGCAGCTCCGGATCTAGAGCGTCGCCGCAGCTCCTGCGTTGGCGCAGCGCGGACGCTGGAGCTGGACCCTCCCGTCCAGTGCACAGCGACGCAGGGACAACACAGTCCGCTTCGGCCTTGCGCCGTCTCCTTCCCTCGCCGGCGGCTCCTCCACGCGGCCAGCGCTGGGTGTTGTGCCCACGCCTCCGGCCCGCAAGCGCACTCCAGAGTTGGAGGCGTGCGCCACGCGTCGCGAGCGGCCGCATCCACGGGAGAGGGACGCGGCGGAGCAGTCCGCGCGCCGTCGCCACGGGACAGAGCCGGACGCCGAGAGGACGCGTGTCTCCTCGCATGGGTGTACCACCGCTCCCTCAAGATGGTGGAGATGGACACCCGCTGCCTCCGACGGAAGAATGCCAAGGCGCTCCCGCTTGCTATTCAGAAGTCGGAGCGCGAGGCAAAGGAGCTAGTGGCAGAGAAGGCTCGGGTCGCAGGCTGAAGCGGCAGCAGGACATGGCGGTCTGTCGGATGAAGGGGATCACCGTCATATCGGATTCCGACTCAAACGGTGGGGATAACTGCACCTCCTCTTCCGACAACCAAGACCCTCCACCAGCCGCAGACGCCTACAGCTGCGTCGGCGACTGGAAGGGCAAAGGACCGGCATGGAAGTGGTGATTCCGGCTCCCCTTCCTCCTCAGTGTTTACATCGTTTTTAGATGTAGAAGTTTATCAACTTATCCGGGAATGAACTATGATCTTTTGGATGTGGTGAAGTATGTTAATGTCCGTTTTCAGTCGATCTTGTGTTCCTTTGTAGCAGATTTTTGTTGTCCATGATTTGATCATGTAGGATAGGTCAACATTTGCATGTCTAGTATGGATATAAGGCGCCGGATATAAGATACGTGGATGCAGAGTGGCAAATATGAGGGGTTCCTGGTCAGTACCCGTGGACGCGCCCGGACGTGTCCGCGGGCTTTCGAGGGCCCGAATTTGCCAACTGCGGCTGTAGATGCTCTAAGGGCACTTCCAACGGAAACCCGTAAATTTCCTCCCGTATCCCTCCGCGGACAGCGGAAATCAGTTCGCGGACACAGATGCAGGAGACCGCCATCCAACGCTGCCTGCATACATCCGGCCTCCCTCATTTTTTTATGTCCGCACGATCAAATAGCCGCATACATAGAGTGCATACGTTCAAATAGCCGCATGCAGCACTAGTTTAAATTTGAAAAGTTCAAATATTACATCCCAACATTATTGTCCCATTTAACCGCCCGATTATGCCCAATCAGTTCTTCTTTCAGCTACTCGTGAGTTGGTCGACGCTGAATTTTTTGATGCATTTGAATAAACTCTTCAAATATGGCCGGAATTTTGTTTGAAAGTTGGATAGGATCTATCACCCATGTTCCCAAATTCTAGAGCTGCGGCGACATCGTCACCCTCATCCTCGACGATTATGTTGTGCATGATCACACAACATGTCATCACCTCCCACAAGGTCTCCGGATTCCATTGCTTAGCGGTCCATGAACAACTGTAAAACGGGCCTGCAGAACTCCAAATGCCCTCTCGACATCCTCTCTAACTGCTTCTTGTCTTTGGAAAAAGCTAGTTGCTTCTTGGCTTTGGGAAAAGTGAGCCTTTTTCTGACCAACTAGGTTAGGATGGTGCTGACAAAGGTAACCCACGGAGGATAGATACCGTCAACCAGATAGTAGCCCATGTTGTACTCATGTCCATTGACAGTATAGTGGCAAGGAGAAACTTTCCTTCAGTTAGCCTCGCAAACAACGATGATCGCTGCATCACATTGATGTCATTCTGAGACCCAGACATGCCAAAATAAGCATGCCAAATCCAAATATCATGTGATGCAACTGCTTCAAGAATGATGGTGGGCTTCTTAACACGACCTTGCTATTGCCCTTGTAAAGCCTTCGGACAGTTCTTCCATTTCCAAATCATGCAGTCAAGAGATCCAAGCAAACCTGGCCATCCTCTTACTTCTGAGATTGCCAAGAGCCTCTCGATGTCTGCCACAGTTGGTTCTCTTAGGTAATGGGGTCCGAACACCTCGACCACGGCAGTTCAAAACCTGACCATGGTATCTCTGCATGTGCTCTCAGACATCCATAGGTACTTGTCCAACGAATCAGTGGTCGTGCCATATGCAAGCATCCGTAGTGCGGCCGTGTACTTCTGGTAACTAGAGAAGCCAATCCTTCCCACGGCGTCCTTCTTCAAGACGAAGTAGTCATGATAGGACCGGACGCCATAGTACAAACGATCGAAAATGCGGCTGTGTACTTCTGGTAACTAGAGAAGCCAATCCTTCCCACGGCGTCCTTCTTCAAGACGAAGTAGTCATGATAGGACCGGACGCCATAGTACAAACGATCGAAAACAGTCTTGCGCAACCAAAAACGTCGGCAAAAACAGTCAACGAAGAGTGCATCTGGGGCAAAGTAGTCGGCCATCAGTGACAAATGGTTGCGCGCCCTGTTGCGATTGAGCACTCGATGACCCTAGATCGAGCCCTTGAAAACGAGAACATGCTCCTTCGCAAACTCCGTGTCTTCAAGGACCGCATGCATCATCGCCGTCTCATCCGAGTTGTCCTCGTCGGACGACTCAACATAGTGCTGATATATGTACTTCAAATCAGAATCTATTGCTAGAAAGAAGGGAAAACTTTTTTAGCTCCGACAATTCATCGAATAGTTGTCGGTCATGGTGAGTATAGCAGTAGCAGATGGTACCTGGCGGGGCGGTCGGAGGACAGGGGTTGAACAGGGAGGGAGGAGAAGCAGGGTGGAGCCCGGATGAAACGTTGGAGGTAACGAAGACATAGAG